CCATAGCAAAAGTAGTAAAATAGAACATAGCTGTCCTTCTTTATCATTTTGTCCTGTCTCTGTCTGCCACTGTGGTGCCACTGCTCCAGCAGACCACAGCATAGATGATGACTGATGTCACCACAGAGTCTAAACAGTTTGAGCAGTGCCGTGCACACTCCAGAGTCCTTTTTTTTAATTTTTTTTTTATAAAGGACAGTAGTAAACACTCAGGTATTCAAGAATATATGAAAAACATGTTCTTCTGCTACCTGATTTTCCATATGTAATTTATGTATTACTTTATTCAGACAAACTGCTGTTGTAGCGCTATTCTAAACAGTGAGACATACTGTATATATAGGTTAGTGGAGAGCCTGTGACAGTATTTGATCTCATAAGATTTTGCCAATATCTATACAGGGTAAATGGGTTAGTGCCTTTTCAGATGCCTGAAATTGTGTCTGCCTGCAGCGCTGTGTCACTACCCTGTTCCATCGCTTTTTATTTCATTGTAGGGATTTTATAAAGGAACATTTGATCATCCACCAGCAGTAATAATCCCTCTCTTGTCAGAATCCTTTTTACATGATACGTGGCAGCGATCCAAGCCTCAAACTGGATGTAGCAATAGAAGCAAGACAAACCAAATAAGCCACAAGATGGGCATGTTTTTGTATGTCATCATGTCATGGTTTTAGTACAAGTGAACCCAAATTCAGACATCAGCAAGGATGTGATAGTGAATGTTTTTTGTTTGTTTGTTTGTTTTTTAATGAATCAAGAACTAGAGCTGGTTAGTGCCATCACCTCACAGCAAAAAGGTTTCCAGGTTCAAGCCTGGGCCAACTCTGGGCCTTTCTCTGCAGAGTTTGCATGTTCTCCCTGTGCCTGTGTTGGCTCTCTCTGGGTACTCCGGCTTCCTCCCACAGTCCAAAGAAGCTTAGGTTGATTGGTGACTCTAAATTGCTCATAGGAGTGAGTGTGAGTGTGTGTTGTTGTTGTTTGTCTACATGTCAGCCCTATGACAGACTGGCGACCTGTCCAGGGTGTACCTTGCCTCTTGCCCGATGTCAGCTGGGATATGTAAACATGAAAGTCGGACTGGAACACAGGAGTTGAACCAGCTGGCTCTTCAATGTTGAGTTTTACTGACTACAAATTGGCAATGATAGAGCATGTGCTGCTGGTTTCAATACACAGTCTCTTGATTACTCATTGAAAACAGGTGAGTGTAATAATGAGCGAGGTGAAGCTAGAACAGGTGAGAACGACACGAGGCAGTGGAAGTGTAACAAAATAAAAGCTTAGAACAGGAAGTGACACATCATCTGCTTAAATATGGACAAAGGATTGTCACTGTTATTCACAGCTGTTATGGATGAAAATGTTTTACTAGGACTACAGCAGAAAGAAACTCTACACCACTTTGTAGGGAACAGCAGCACAAGTAGAAACTGCACCCAGTTAGTGCTTCCACTTTGGCATTTGCTGCCATGCATCTTGTGACTGATTAATTCATGAGATGCAACACCTACCTTTTTAAATTTGCATATAGTAGAAGCAAACGACTAGGGATTTGTAGGATTCATTAACATGACCATTAAAATTTAGTTCAGTGAATATACAAGGCAGCTGCTCATTAGACCAAGTCCAGGCTAAAAGACACATCAAGGCCTGATGGATGATGGAAATTGAATCTCATTAGCCTGGGATTTTTTTAATGTAATAAATAAATGAAAATCTCACTGTGTTAATTCATCAGCTGTGTCAGAGAAACGAGCCTGTCTCATATATTTTCATTCATGAGGAGATGACACTGGCTATTAAGAGGCAGAAAGGTAATATTTTTTTACTTGCTGCAAGATACTTGTATCTTCTTTATGAACTACATATACTGTCTCTTTATTGCCTTTAAATACTACTAATGCAATAACACCTTAACACAATTTTTGTAATGAGTTTTTATTGCCAGCAAAATGAGGAAATTGTGAAAATGACTCACTGAGGAAAGGTGATGGACAGAGTGCACGAGATTAGGAAGAGAGCAGATAAACTGTAGTGGAACACTCATAAACATGAGCTGAGTACTTTATGCTCTATTGACGTGATATTTGAAGGTGTCCCTCCGCATGGGTCTCAGTGCCAAGCTTCACAGACAGGCCCAACAATGAGCAGCCAGTGGAGTGTGACACTCGTGTTTCAGGAGGACAGGTGGCAGCGCTGCTTATTCTTCATGGCTTATGTCGGCGTTTGCCTACTGTAATAACAGCCCCAGATCACATTGGGTTCACTTGCTCTATGCCTGGTTGTTGTCTGTTGCTGTTCTGACAGTAATAAATTAGCGTAACATAAGATTAGTCTTTAAGTATTAAGACCACACCTATAAACATAATTCACACTTTTGGATTTTATTCTAAGCTTTTTGTTTTAATTTTGATAAAAATGCAGTATTATAACTATATTGTAACCTTACAAAGCTGAGCTTGAGCTGCAGCAAGGATTCTGAAGAGAATGCAATATTCTGAAAGAAACCGTGGCTTTTTGGTTCCACTACAGCTTTTCCTTTGGTCTGTGTTCCTTGTCCTTAACTACAATCCTCATCCTCATCATTGTTCTCTCCATTGTCATCTCTATAATTATCAGTATTATCATCAATCACCTGCTATTAAAAGGCTTTATCTTAATTATCTGGGTGTTTTGTCATCCATTCATGAATGTTTAATTGTCCTAAATGCGACTGCAAATGAATTTTTTTGTGACTCTAGGGATGTGCTGAGATGAGGTGACATTTCGGGGTCATACAGTACAATATATCTCAATATAACCTCAAACATTAGCCTGTTTTTTGACAAGCGTCATCTACAGAGCCACTCTGTGAATTGCTTGTTCTTTTATTTGTCTGTACTGTAGCACATATTGTACCATTTGTCTCACACTGTTTAGACTGACTGAGATTATGATTCCTGTTTATACACTGTCTTTCTTACAGTTAACTAAAGAAGACAGAGCACTGCACGCCAAATGCCACAGCTTCTTCTTTCCGTGCTCTGTGCTTGTGATTATTTATAGCTTCCTGACAAAACTGAGAAATAAGGCCATTAATAAATAGCCTGTATATAGCAGACAACTAGATACCGCTAGTCCTGTTTCAGCTTTCCTTTTAGTAATGGTTAAGCACATTATTAGGTCTGCTCATACTGTGCGTTTGTGTGTGTGCACGCACATCTGCCCAGCTGTGTGCCACATCCTTCAGTGATCAAACACTTGGCACAGGAGACAAGGAGCTGTGTGGCAGTCTGGAGAATGTGCAGCACAGAGTAGCCTTCAGAGAAGAAAGTCTTAGCTTTTATGGGCTCCATTATAATAGCATGTGGACTCAGTTAAGGTACCAGTGTAGGTTGTAATTAAGTTGGCAGTTTTCTCCTAGGCCAAGCCGGAGGCAATTTGCTTTAATGAAGCAATGCTGTACAATGAAGATGATGCTCCAGAAGTGTATTCTTTTTTGTTGATGCCTTTTCTTAATCATCTGCTCTGTCCTGAGTGTTAAATGAGTGCTGAAAATATCTTCTCCTTCAGCTGATTGTGTGGCTATTTTCAATGCAAAGCGTCTGTACACTACAAAGAGCAGAGACATTACCAGTCACTGTATAGTGGCTGTTGGTGCCTGGCTTCTAGCAATGGCAGTAATGGTACCGTACTTTTAAAGCCTTGTCCTGTTCTAAATGTACTTTCACAGGCAAATTCAAGACAGACAATCTGTGTTCAGATTATTTTACAAAACTGTTGTGTACTTTCTCCTTAAAGGGGTTTGTTTATGATTGTGAAGACATTATGGTTCTCTTGGATTATCGATAACCCCATGAACAATAAAACAGCATCTCCTGTAATATAAGCAGACACCTTAGCTCATCTTCTTTATCTGCCATCAGCTCCTGTGTGGCAGGACTGTGGAGGCAACCATGTGTAAAAGTTGTTTTTTTTTTGTTTTTTTTTGTAGAAGTATGAAGCTTCTGTTTGGAGATTAAATATTATTCCTATGGAAATTTTATGAAACACATTTAAGCATATAAAAGAGAGAAAGTTATGGAACTATCAAAAAGTTTATTGTCGGGATGGTAGCGGAATGGTTACGAAGGCCCACCATGTACATATGCAGAGTGTGTGTGTGTGTGTGAAGTGGTCTCCTCCTCTCTGTTTCCATTTCCCTGCTTCCTGTCCACCTCTCTGACATACTGTCCAGTAAAGGCTAATAAATTCCCAAAAATAACTTTAAGGTGTATTGTCATGAATTATTTAAGAATTTATTCATTGCCTTTCACTTCAGCTCATGTAGCCTGTCTGAAGCACATTATAGTCTGACCATGTAGTGTCATTATGGCACTTCCCAGATTAAATCGTGCATGAGTCACACTAGGTTATGCAACAGGAAGACGCAGGCCTTTGGCACTCAAATTAAGTTGGAAATGCACTGCCTAAGCTGCATTTGCCATTTCTGTATTTTGGCTGGTGTGACAGCATCCTCAAGGATTTTAATGTTGTGTGAAAGAGATAGAGCTGCTTCCTGATGAGTTGAAAATTGCTCCATCCATCACTCCAAGGTCAGATCCCAAAAAAGGGTAGTAGATGTTGTTTCTAGAGTGAATGCAAACACCAAAACTATTGAGGTGCTGAGCCAGATCCACTTCATATTGCATGCATGTCAGCATATTCCCTCAGTTTAAAACTGTAAGTGGGGAAGACTGTCATTGTCAGTTTTATTTATGACTCCACAGTGTATCCAGTATGGTCTTTTTATGATGCCTGTGCATAGATCCAACAATTTTTGTTAGTTCCCCAGAGATCAGTGTTTATGTTGGCTTTTTAGGGCCCGTGCAGCCTACTACATTTTTTCAAACTAAACTATCCCACTAGTGTAATGCCACTGTTGATCAGGTAACAGATTGGCAGGTTATCCTGTATCAGTGAAGCATCTTTTGTTTATTCAGGACAAAACTGAAGCTTTCTTTGTTCTTCTGCAGATGAGTCTCTGGTGGACTCCACACACCATCCCATGGGATTTCTTGGAAGTGTTTCAAGTTCAACAGGGCTGTCATCATCAGCCTTACCAGCCTCACATTACAATGCCTCTGAGAGCCCAGTCTCACCTGGTATGCTGCCATCCATTCCTGAACCAAACCATGAAGTTAAGATGGCTGACAACATGCGTTTTCCACGGGGACAAGTTCCTTCTGAAGGCTCTCAGTCCTACACACCAAGTGACCTCCATGAAGAACAACCACATACTTTTTCCATGCCATCATCAGTCTTCTCTGGACCTGTAATGGGCTCTAGCTTACAATTTGAGGCACCAGCTAAACTCTCCACATACTGGAATCAGGCCAGGTCAGAATCTGCCAAGCAGTCTTCCTCTCTGTCTGTAGCTCCAACAAGATCCCAGCTGCAGTCTCAGTCAGTTATGCCCAAAACATCATTAAGCCCTTCTGTTTCTGCAAAACCAACAACGCCTCAGGTTGGTCTTAATTCTGAGCAGAAGACAACTGTTCGCCAGCAGCATGGCAGTGCATCAGAGCAAACACTGCCAGTTGTGACCTCACAGCTTAGCCAGCCTCATAAGCCCCCTAAACTGGCTTTCGCTGATTCTCTGCAAGATGAATCTTATAGTAAAATCCAGAATGTGAACCAGCTGAACACCAGAAATGTCCTCTTGCTGGAGAACAAGCCAGCTCATGACATAAACAATCTGTCCAACTCAGATGAGATTGCGGCTCCTGGCTACAACATGCCTTTCATTGCCCGTCCCCCTACATCACCTTCATCAGAACCCACTGAGGTCTCTCCAGAAGTCTTCTACCCAACCAACACCATGGAATTGGACTGGGGGTCTGGGGACTACTTGGAGACTATGTCATTCTTAAATTCAGATGGAGATGACTACTCTTTGGCCACCAAGGTTCCCTCTGACTCATATGATCTGGAGGACTTTACAGAAAGCTATGACACATCCTTCCCTTCCAGAGTGGGCATATCCCCTTCATCCCTGCATCCTCTTCATGCCTCACCTTCTCCAAGCCTCATGGCAACATACAGCACCACTATTCCACTTAAATCTATCCATCCTTCTGATTTTTTCTTCACAAGTCATTATACACTGGAGCCTACTCCTGCAGCTAACAGTGATTCAACTGAAGCATCAGACATAGATTGGCATGATACTTTCACAATCCAACCAACAGATGTCCTTTTACCAGACATGAACAGCTTGGAGTATTACACGATTCAGTTGAAAAAGGAGAACAGCAGTTCAGACAATGGAGCTGAACACAGGGGTAATGTTACTGTGGTGTCCATCAGTACAACAGACATCACACCCACAGGCAGCTTCACCAATGATACTAAACAGACAGAGGAGGAGTCCTCCAGTGATCTGTCAGGGTTTGAGCTTCATGATAAACCAACCACAGAGGAGAGTCCTCAGTTAGTCAGTGCCTCTGAGCCTTTTCTGGATCCTTCAGTAGTCCCAAGCATCTTCTTTGAGCCCTCTTCTTCCATCTGGGGTGGTCAGATGATCGTCACAGATTGGTCTGCACTGACTCTCACTGCTGGCCTGGACAGCACTGTGCCAACGAAAGCTATACTGCCTCATCCCACACCTTTGCTGCCAGATGATGTAATGTCTTCCTCCTCTCTGACAGATGTCCATTGGTTTGTTACCGAGTCATTTCTACAAAGTACCCCACACACCACTCCTGTCTTAACTGAAACCATAGCCTTCTCCCCTGCTCCCACTGAAACTGCTGCCAGCACATCTGCTGATACATCAGAATCAACTCCCCAAGACTCTACTCTTTCAACTGAACAAACTCTCAATATCACTCTAGTTGAAACTGATCCCGCATCTAATGTCACTTTGGACCCCCTGGTCATTTGGGGTGATCAGGGGGTGACTGAAGATGGAGATGACATCCCAGCCACAATGACCTTGATCCCAACTAGCAGTGAGGCTAATACAAGCTCTACTGTATCCACAGCTACAACTGCCACCATCACTTCTCATGAAGCAGCAACTAGAATCTCTGCCACCACTGAAGCCTCAACTAGTGTTAGCACCATCTCTACAACCAGTGCAATGACTGCAGCACCAAGACAGTACCTCTGCAGCCTGGACAGACCTGCTTATTTAATAAAAATTGGTAAGTTGATGTCTTAATTTGGAACCCAATTTTTTGTAATCCACGTGTGATGTATGAAAATTGTGATTTGCAACTGAGAGCCTTCTTACAATGAAGTAGAGCTATAACCATGAGCTTGTGCTTTCTTTTCAAGATTTTCCTTCTGGGGCCACTGTTGGATATGCCAAATCACAAATCAGAGACATATTGAAAGTAGAATTCAACAACTCAGTGGAGCTGCAGGTACATTTATTTCTGTGGTTGAGTAAAAAATTTGATAGTAATAATAATAATAATAGCATGGAAGACGTTAGGCTCTTTGGCAAGTAATAACAATGTACAGTAGTAACGTAGGCACATTATGGTGTAAAAGAGATCTTGTAAAAATAGAAAGTAATTCTGGAATGGGTGGACTGTCTTGTAATGACCCTCACATGCACTGTATGTGTGTGTATATGCTGTACCTCTGTCAGTGTGTGTGTGGATGAATCATGAAGGCCACGCCACTTCCTGAGTTTTTATCTGTGGTTCTACAGTAAACAAACAACAGGAGCAGTCACATCAAGGTCTAAAAGACTTGCATTGAACTTTCAAACACATAAGTTGCTTATGTAACACAAAGCACTCAAACGGGGTTTTTCCATTGTAGGAACCTGTCAAAACATGTTACATTGAGTAACGCTCATCACGGGTTCTGCATTTGACTCCACTACACTTGGTCCACTTTGGAGGTGCATTCTGGGAGCTAAAATTCAGCACCCCTACGGAGGTAGTACTAAAATCAAGTACCAGGAAAACAAGAGGGAAGGGGTGCGTGCACACAGAGCGGTTGCCGGTGATTGGTTAAATATCCACATCTTCACACCTCAAGCATTAGCATTAAAAGTACTGTGTGTAAACACACAGCTGACTGTTAAGTGTGAGAGAGTAGCAGTCCCTCTCTTCTCCAAACAGAGACCAATAGAGAGAACATACCATGGAAAAACAAAGCAGGGCAGTCTGCATCAACCCCAGAGGCTATGCTTAGTGATGGTTTGGGGAAGTACAGGGCATACAGTACCACTCGTTAAGATCCTATAGTGGAAATGCAGCAAAAGTAACTCTGAGTAAATGAATGACTCTAATTTCTTTGTCTGTGAAGGTTGTGGACCCCCCACCAAAGTTTGTGTTTCGTGTGGTGTCTGGCCCAGTTATATACACAGCCATATCTGTGATCAATGCTCTGCAAAGGTCTCAGCGCCGCTACATCTCTGTGTCTCCCCACTGGACACCGCCAGACAGTAAATATCAAGTCCACACAGGTAAATGACCTTTCAGTAAGTTGTGTTGTTGTCAACATTTGAATTGTTTTTGAATGGCTTTAGTTTTTGAAACTTATCTAAAACTTTTCTTGTCTTCACTTTGTGCAGTGCTACAGTTTGTTCCTGGACATATAGATGTGCGCTTCTGCAACTTCAGCGAAAGCATTGAGAAAGGTTTGACCATGGCTTTTTCAGAAGTGTGCAGGCGCTCAAAGGAGTCAACCGACTTCACAGTCCATGTAGGTGGGACCAAAAGGCAGCGAAATGGTCTCGCTCTTGTGTTTCAGCTGAGATCTTAACATACAGTCATTGCCAAAAATATTTGCACCTCTGCGTTCTGTCTCTGCACTACGTCTCCCAGAAAATTGTTGTGATCAGAAATTCTTTGGTATTCTCTTTATTTATTTATTTATTTTTTCTTTTGTTTGCATTGGAACAACATGAAAAAGCAGAGAAAAAAGCCAAATCTAATACATTCTACACAGAACTCTAAAAATGAACTGGACAGAATTATTGACTTTTTTTTAAATCAAAATTATTAGAAATAGTTGTATTTCAACTATTCATCAAGTCATCATGTGACCTAAATTTGACCACTTCTGTGGCAGCTCTAACATGGATTGGCAAGCTGTTCCATAGCTTAGAGGCCACAGCTGTGAAAGCCAGATCACCCCAGCACTGACACCTAGATCTTGGGACCTCAAGAAGAAGCTCGTTTGAGGACCTAAGTGATTTCACTCACATGTGCTATCGCAGAGGTTCATTAAGATAAAGAGGGACAAGACCATTAAGTGCCTTAAAAACAAATACCAGAAGCTTAAAATCTATTATAAAGTGAATTGTGTCCCAGTGAAGAGAGGCTAAAGCAGGAGTTTTACGGTTGGATTTACGTGAGCCTGTCAAGAGGAAAGCAGCAGCACTTTGGACCAATTGCAGGCGAGAAATGGAAGATTGCTTAATTCTATAATACGGTGCATCACAATAGTTCTCGAGAGCTAGCAAAATCATGTATCAGCATTTCAAATCCATTAAAGGAGAGAAATTACTTAACTCTGCTTAACAGTCTGATGAAAAAAAATATTTTCACAGCTGCATAGATCTTTTTATCAAATTTCAAATCCTTATCAAAAATCACCCCTAAATTTTTAACCATAGTTTTTAGATTTTGAGCCAGTGAGTCCAAAATTAAAATCAGGTGTGGGACCCAGGTTTCCTAACAGCACACATTATGTTTTGGTTTCTTTAAGATGCAGGAAATTTAATGATAATTAGGCATTAATGTGCCTTAAACAAACAAAGATTGATGTAAAGTACCTTTTTTAGGTCTTAGCAGTACATAGATTTGGATGTCATCGGCGTAACAGTGAAAAGAAAACCCATATTTCTCCAAGACAGATTTTAGTGGGAGTTGATATAATGAAAAATGAACAGGGTGAAGACCCCACAGGATTTGACTAAGATTGATTTGCATAATAGGGTGACCTTGACTGGAATATTGCTTTGCAAACAGAAGCTATTTTGTTTAATCACTCGAGCTTTTGATAATCAGTAAATGAATAGTGGCAGAAATGGTTGCATAAAGAGTCAGAGAGAGCTAGATTTTTGAGAACTCACTGCTCAGTGTTAAAACCTAAATTAACCTAAAATCAAACTCATGCTGAACGCCACCTCACCTTACTCTCCATATTACTGTGGCTCTTGAACAAGACCCAAAGATACTTCCCGTGTATAGCTGTACTTGAAGGAGTTCATGCTCTAGTTGCTGAGCATTAAAGAAGCTTACTGTTTGTTAATAAAGAGCTTATGTGGTTGTAGAAGGTGGCCTCAGTAGAGTTTTGTGTAGTCCTTTTACATTGATGCCTGTATTATAGTCTTTTAGTTGGAATAAATGTAGGATTATATCAAGCATTTCTTGCAGCATGGAAATGTTTTATGAACAACTTGCAAACTGTGCCCTGGGTCACACAGCCCAATTTTGTGTTCTACTTTCCAGTCACTGAAGCCAGAGGTTTTCAGCTTGGGAGCTTCATTGTAACTCTTTAAGAGACAAACAAGCATTCCCAGAAATTACATCAACAGTAGAATGGAAAATTTTTTTGTACATTGTGTGGTGTAATCGTCTGTCCACTGAGTAGCACAATGCTGTTTAATTGTGTTTCAGATTGTAAACATTACCATTGCTGCTACAAAATATCAGGAGCAACGGTCAGTGAAGCAGCCAGTGGACATCATCTTCACTGTACTCAGTTCTATGGATTATCTGATGGGGTCGGAGGTCAGCAATGCTCTGATGAAGCTTAGCATGGTGGAATTCAGCTATTACATGGGCTTCCCTGTACTTCAGATTGCTGAGCGTGAGTCCCATAGGGTTGTCTCACTTACCCGTTTCCACTTATTCAAGTCATCTTCATGTTAAAAGTTAAGTATTACTCTGCTTAAACATAATTTTCTCCTTTTTACCACAGCTTTTCATTATCCAGAGTTGAACATCAGCCAGTTGCTTCGCTCCTCCTGGGTTAGAACAGGTATGATGGTTTCAGTTCTGACTCTAGCCTGCTGAAAAGCTACAGGTGCTTACAGGAAATATGTGATTAATTTTGCTTCTTATCTTATTTTTGTTTGTTTGTGTACATACTGTAGTGCTCCTGGGTGTGCTTGACCAGAAAGTGGGTGAGAGGACCTTCCAAGCCAGCATGGAACGCCGGGTGGCCATGTTACTTGGGGAGGCTATGGGATTAGCCAGACGTATTAAGAGAGCCACCAGCATAGGCAACAGCAGTGTTCAGGTACACACTGTTGTCTGTATCACTTTTGAATTAAGAATTTAAGACCCAGAACTGAGCTGTAAATGATTGTAGAGACAGACATTTCAGTGTGTTTTTCAAGGCAAAGTTTTTTTCTCTGGAAATAGTAAACACAGTATACAATAGATTTATTTGTTGAGTTTCTTGTTCATTATATAACAGAACTTATAAAAGTTTTTAACTGGGGGTTTGTTAATAGATTACTCACTAGATCTTGCAAAAGCTTCCTTCCTTGTACCATTTATATCATTATGCTATTTCTCACTACCATGCCTGAGTACTGAGGGCTCATTATGTGAGCCTTGCTGTGTCTGTAACCACTGAAAGCCTTCCTGCTTTACTAATCAGGCTCTTGCTTTTGTGGGTTCACTCCGCACCTGCTCAGCTCATCTCTAAGGGGACAGGATAGGGCTCCGTCTCCATGGGAACAGCATCCCATTCAGCCCAGGGGCAAGCCCCTTAAAGACCACAACCTCACAAGTCCTTGTTCTTTCTCCGCTTCCCCATTTCTCCAATCCTGTTATTTGATGGCTCATGTGAGGCACAGAGCTGCTAAGAGCTGATCAATTATTTACTGTTTCTCTTTCACTGTCTGTGTCCTGCAGTTGAAATGATTAAGAGTGTGTGTCTGTTGTTGAGAGAGTAGAAATTGTGGAGGGAGAGGTACAGAGACGGGTAGGTACAAGATTCAGAAATCAGAGGAACAGAGAGAGCAACACCTGGATAGAAGAGACTTGTTATGAGTGATGAGAGATTCATATTTGATCCAGCCTCATGAAGTCTTGAACCAAGCAGGCTGGCAGAGAGGATAATATCGTCCTTGGCCAAGTAGCAGCCTCACTCTTTCTGACTGACAGAGCAATTTAGGAAAATAGTGGACCATAGCCATTTCAAGCCTGTAGTGTTGGTATCTGTATTAAGTTTAGATCTTCAATTTTAATTCTGCATTCTTTCTACATTTCAAAATTATATTTCTCACAGTCACAAATAGGAATATGTGTTATACCATATGTACAGTATGTTATGTGCTCATGTTCCTTCCAGCTTTGATAGGATAATGTAATTATGGAAGCCTAATGTGGATTTTGTTTTACGCTTCAGAGTGTTTGTTGTACCGGTATATAATGAGAGTGAGGTGACTCAGACTGAAGAATCCTTGTTCTCACTTACTCACACACACACACACACACACGCACATGCACATACTGAGGACACAAACATAAACAGATGCCTTAGAAGTCATGACAGAATCAGTGTAGTGTTGCTACAGATACCTAGGAGAATACCTTATGAGTCTGCCTAGACAGATAAAAGAGGAGGTTGAATTGGGGTCATGCAATAACACACACATTCACACTGCTCTTTCCACTCTAATAATGTTCATGGGCTAAATTAGACCCTGGATGAGGGAGCCTGCCCGGCCGTTTTTCTGTGTCAGCCCAGGCATGACCTGCACTTTACTCTTTCCAGTATTGCAGACAGCAGACTGCGATGAGCCTCAGGGTGCCCAGAGGGAGACTGCACACATACACAGACATATTAGACTACATGAAAAAAATTATAAACAATGAACACTCTTATGGGAATAGAAGAAGAGCATATATAGCATTCGTGTGGGGATGTTTTTTTTTGTGCAAATACACTTTTATGGAAACGCCTCATGTTAAATGACTTGCAGCAATTAAAAGTACATCTTACACATTAACTTCTATTTAAAATATTTGTATTTTGTATTTAATTCATTTAATAAATACAGTAAATGTGTTTAAAATGCCACAGATCAGAATGATCGTCTTTGACTAGGTTGTTTCCTTGATGTTTTATCAGGGACTTGAATAATAATTATAAATATAACATACAATAGCTTAGGAAGCCATATAATTGTTTCCTTAATTGTAGTTTCTGCAGCCACAAAACTAAAATATCATTAACGTTACAGGGTTCTATAGAAAATAAGGTACCATCGTGGACAATAAAAATTATCTTTATTATTGAAATTGTAACACTTTGGTCATTATAGCCTTCACAAGGCTTTCAATTTTAAATGTAGAGTGTTGTGCCTCATCTTTAGTGGATCTAGTTATTTATTTTTGGAAGCTTTTCTTTTCCAGTTGCTTGAGCACTGGTCTGTTAGCCACAAGTGTTGCAGCCGGGAAACATTTATAGGTCACAACAACAAATGGGAATATTGAAATGAAAGCATGTTGCACAACAGATTCTAATTTTGATGGGTTTGAATTGAAACTCACGTTAGTCTCCACCTCACTGTGTGTTCTTAAAGTCAGCAGAAATTCAAAAACCTCTAACAAGATTACTAAATGTCACAAAACTGAGGTTTGTACAGTAAGCATAGGTTTCCAGCCAAAGCAAATGAGCAATTAGACAGCACCAACTTCTGCCATGGCAGCTCAGTTCCCCCTTTTCCTATTGCCATTCCACCTAAATGCAATATTCGCATCATAGTTTTCTCTTTTTCCAAGATTTTATTAATTAGTAAGTCACATACAGGAAACAGAGAGCTGTCGTTGGCTGGAGTAGAACCACTGACAGGTATATGGTGCAGCATGCTGTAACCACTCAGGTACAGGGTACCCCAATTTTTATTCAGGAAAAACAATATTCTACTAATGGCAGTTTTTTTCAGGATTTGTTGCAGCAACCTTTGAAGATACATCAAATCTCCTGAGTCAGCAGAGTTTCAGCTAGAATTTGATCTTATTGCACATCTGTAGCATTATTTGTTGCCTCACAGTATCAAGTTTTCCGTGAGCCCTATAAATGTGAACATTCTGGATCACCACATCTAGAATATTACTTGGATCCAGATCAGACTTTGGTGTGTGGTAAATCTTATGAGGGTGTTATCATGCAATTTTGGTTCAAGCATTGTAGGCATTGTGTATGCAACTAGAAGTAAAAATACTGAAATTTGCCCAGTCTGACACTGGTGAAGAATCCTTCTGCAGACAACCATCTCACAGTAGACATTCAGCCTGTTGATTGCTTTGTGTGAGAGCATAACAGCCAAGGAGTAGGCCCTAGCGTCCTTTCCATACACAAGGCGATGTGTTCCTGTAACAAGAAATATTCCTTAATACTTCATGACACTGATGCCACTGAACAAACTAAAGAGTTTTCTTGGAAAGGCCTTGGATGCAGCCAGAATCTCCCATGTTTTGTCCAGTGGCTAGATTCAAACCTCCTGAATTTTATTTTTGGAATCAGATTTCTGTCTGTCTTGTCTCTTAAAGAGGTAGCTGCAGTAGCTCAATAACATTTCAGAGGTGGGTTTAACTTGCTCTGATGATAGAGGGTGGCACTACGACTTATTAGGTATTCAATATTTAAAATATTTGTTCAGGAAACCTGTGTTTTATAATTGTAATAAAACTTTTTAACTCTGACTCTCACTCCATATGAACCTGTAATGTATGCACTTGTACCACATCATTTCATACAGCTATCTGAACATGTGGCAAATTGTACCTTCTGTTTTTGTATCTGCTCTAAGGTTGTAAGTGCATCCCGGCTGCTGGGTTCGGACCACCCCTTGGAGATAGTGTATTTTGTGGAGGATCCTAGTGGTCAGAGGATGACTGCAGCTCAAACATCCAGCCTACTCAACAGCCTCGATGTTCAAAGGGCTGCCATTGTCTTGGGATATCGTGTGCAGGGCGTTTTAGCGCAGCGTGAGTACCTCCTGCATAGTAAATTAATGACATTGAGGGGCTGCTAAGTGATAAAGGAGATGGTCCTTGATATGTCTGTAAGCATCTACATTGCTGAAATGTCCAAGAGCAAGACTGAGTCACTGCTATTTTTTTTTTTTTTTAATCCGATTATTGTTACTTGTCACTATTTTATTATTGGTATATGAGTTGAAATACAGTGCACTGCAAAGAGCGTTTGGCCTTTTGTTTTGTGAATTGCACAGTCCACTGTAGTTTTTCAAGGTTTTGTCAAACTTAACTGCGTAGAGCCAAATTCTATTTTAGAGCAGAACAAATGGAATACTGAGCTAATTACTTGCCTTGTACATGCTGTACCAGTCCTCAGTAAAAATCTAATCAAGGGATGAAGGCCCAATGAGAGTCCCTCAAGGGAGTACTGTCGCTGTGCTGGCTGAGTTATCTTACACTAACTTTCCCAGGGGATAGAATGAGTGGTAATTAAAACAAATGAAGGTCTGCACTGAAGATTACTGCAGTGAGACAAGAACCAGCACTCTGATACTGCATGTCTACCTTAGCATCTTTCAAGTGTTTGTGAACAGGCTTAAAAAGAATATTGAAGCATATACCCAGATTAACTGAGCCATGCCAACACTAATATGTGCTGAATTTGTGCTTGAAACTTGGCTTAAAACTAAAATGTCTCTGTCACTCTCCCATATCTTTTTTTTTTTTTTGTAAAGCTGTAGAGAAGGTGACCTCCGCACCCTCTGACACAGAGAACACCAACATGTGGATCATCATTGGGGTGGTGATTCCCCTCCTTGTGGTGATTGTCATCATCTCCATCCTGTACTGGAAACTGTGTCGAACAGACAAGTTGGAGTTCCAGCCAGACGCCATGACCTCTATGCAGCAGAGGCAAAAGGTAGAGTCCAGGCAGTGTTGTGCATTTGTTGTTGTTCATTTTATCATTGTTTCAGTGTCATTTCAGTATGTAAAATGGTAGTACGGTAATTAAATCTGTGGCCACCACTGTAACATCATTTGTCAAAAGCTGATAAGGCTGATTCTGAAAATGAATATGTTTTTGTGACCATAAAGTATTTTTGTATCAAGCAGTCTAATTTAAGAACAGCTAAATAGTAATATGTCTTACTTGTTTTTCTTTGGTAAAGATCATTCTTGCCAGAATTACAGTGACGTGCACTATACACCGATCAGCCATAGCATTATGACCACCTGGCTAATGCATAGGAGTCGGTGCCGAAGTTGATTGGTACTCATGTCATTCTGTAGCTCACTGTGCGTCTTCTGTGAATCCATTTATTTCCATAGTTCTACTGTCAAAAAGAGCACAAATTTGTGTTTATCACTTAGTGATAAAAATATTTTAAAGGAGTGAAAACTGTGGCTGTTAGGACAAGTTAGAAATAATAAGACATAACTAGACCTGCAGCCTGGCAGATGCTGTGACCCAGTCATCAGGCCATCACAGTTTGGCCCTTGTCAAAGTCACTTAAATCCTTGCACTTGCTTGTTTTCCTGCTTCCAACACATCAACTTTGAGGACTGAATGCTCACTTTGCTGCCTAATATACCCCACACAATGCTAGGTGCCATTGTAAAGAGATAATAAATGTTATTAATTCACCTATTATTGGTCATAATGTTATAGCTGATCTGTGCACTAATCATGTGGCTGTGATACAGCTATAATGTATTTATGTTGTGTTAACACCGTGTTAATGGCCAAACCAGTTTTGCCAAACATTGCCATGTTCTGAATAGAAAGGTTTACTGCTGATGATCTGGAAAGTCAGAACGCTCAGCTCACTTTTAAATTCAGATGAACTCCATTTAATTAGGTGGATCTGTCACTGTCATGAATGGTGCTGTAGGGCTTCATAGAAGCTGGACTTCATCAGTTCTTCTTTTAGATAAGATTAGTAAAACTTTAATGATCCCAATAGAGAGATTTATTAAAGGACATGAGCAGGATAAGAAGTCATGATGATGCTAGTAAGTGTGCCAAGGCTATTTTTTTCTTTAAAACTTTTTCCATGTTTCTTTAGGTATTCGTTTGCTTAAAGGACAAACAGCCCTGCCCTTTAATTCCCCTTTGTCTCATTGTATTTTCAGTTTGTGACAATTGAACAGGTTCCCCACCCTTTCTACCTTTGCTTGACACAGGAATAATGCCATTTGGCAGCGCTGAACCTGTTCCCTGTCCTAGTATTACCTCTTTGGTGTCCTGTTGGCCATGAAGTTAACTGCCCCGACATACTATCTATTTCTTCTGTTCTTTGAGGCTCCCTACGTGTTCAGATGAACATATCAGGTTTGATCAGTAGTGACAGTGCAGACTCTTTCCAAAAATGTTGGAGAGACACAGGGTGTGTGTGTGTGTTATATTGTTTTGTTTTGTTTTAGTGTAAAGGATGGGCTCAAACCTTTGCTCCGTTTCCAAGTTCAGCATGTGTGATACAACTAGATAGCTACAGCATTTTACTGTGAAAGAGACAAATAAGACTAAAGCACAGGTATGAGGCATTTGCACTGGCTGACATCAATACCAGAGAGCTTTGTCCTCTCTGTGGTACAGCAGTGTTGGATCTCTCTTTGAGTAGCACACACCTGCCGTCCTGCTTCTCAGCTGCTGCTTCACAGTCAAGTCCTAGTGATTCTTTCATCATTAATTCAGATGTCACTGACAACCCAGTCCTAAAATTGTTTTTTTTAATATGATGACTTGTAACCAGCCTATTTTGGGGGTTTGTGCATGTGTATTATTTCAGCCCCATGACCTCCTGGTTGATCTTTCTGTCTGTATTTTTGTTACATTCTCCTCCACTTGCATTTTTTGGTTGAGCTGAGCTGAGCTGTGATCTAATCCCTCTGCTTCTCTGTGCATCTGCAATGAATCTGATGTGCAGAACCACACTCTGCTTAACACAGTCATCTGTCACTTAACACCACTCCTCTTCTCAGTCTGCTACATCATTCAGAGAATCAAGGACATCCCTTCACCAGACAACCCCTCCAGCTAAAATGAAAATAGAATTTAGTGAGGAAGAGGAGGAGGAGTATGATGAAGAAGAACAGGAGGAGGAAAAGAAGGTTGGAAGGTGGAAGGTACAGAGCAGTGTCTGGTGGTTTATGGAAAATGTAGAGGAGATGTAGTTTGTGTGTGTGTGTGTGTGTCTGGGCGGTAGTCATTCAGTGGGAATTACTCTAAACGTTTACAGTTAAATAAAAAATAACAAAGAAGTCAGAAGTTAATAGTCCAGTGTCAAATTTTGACATATGTCAGATACAGACACAACAGCATCATCACTGTATCCACCATTGCTTCTGCTTAGAGGCCAGCAGCTCTTCTCAAGAGAAAAAAGAATATGAGCAGTGAGGAGGAAGAAGAGGAAGATGAGGAGCAAGAAGATGATGAAGACAAAGAAAAGAAAAAAGAGATAATGAAAAAGAAAGAAATTGCACAGAGAGAGCAAAGGAAACAAAATGGCAAATCAACACTAACAAAACCAGCGAGGGTGGTGAAAGAAGAGAGAATCGAAGTGTTCTCTAAAGGGAAGACAACCAAGGAGGAGGTACACTGTGTCGTAGTCATAGAGACTAGTCCACATTAGTGGACATCCTGCTTTCCCCAGTTTTGATGACCAGACACAGGAAATCCAGTATGATAGAGTACATATGGTGGGTTTCACTGTGGACTTTATATTGGTGCGTTTGTCTATAGATCACTGTGTTGTGAAGGAGTACTGTAGATTTGTGTATCAGCAGTTTGTTGTGAGTGATTCCCCAGTTTACCATTAGCCCAAGCTAAGCAGTATTCAATGTGTAATGTGTGGGAGATTGTGTGTTTGCTTTGGTTCAGCCTCGGTGTTAATTGCAATGAAATGGCTTTTGCTGTTTCAGCTGCAGCTTTTTGAATGATTTCCATTTCAGTGACCGGCCTTGTTTATACGCCACAGAGAGCAGTACACACAAAGATATGCACACACTTTCTCTCTTTGGATTAGCAGTTTCATACTGGCAAGCATCACACTGGATTAGCAGTTTTATACCAACAAGCCTTGTCTAAGCCACACAGTTTGTTTCAGTAAACTCAGTGAGTGTACATATAATTCAGAGAATCAACAGGAACATGTTGTGTCACTCTTCTCTTCCCTTATAGTCATATTTTGTGTTGGTGTCACAAGCTGCAGATGCAGGTGGTTATGCCTTTACTAAAGGCCCCGAGGGCCATGTAACAGGGTCTCACTGCTTCCATCTCCAGCCTCCACCCCCACCTCAAAGGAGAGCAAGCATCTCAGTGTTTCCACACATCACCCATTTCTGTCCCAGTTACTCATAGTCGTTCTCTTCATTTATTAATGTCTGTCTGTCTGAGTCTCCCTCCTGGATGTCCAACCATCAGTAATCTAGCCTAATTATGTACCCAAAAGTTGTCTCTCTGACTGTCTGGCTATCACTTCACTCATTCATGACTCTTGGTGTTGAGAGAATTTCAATGCAACAGCCTTGTCACTGTCTGAACTTGCATTTGCTGGTTTAAACTGCAGATTAAAATCATTATGCATTATTTATGTGTCATAAATATTGCGGTCATTAAACATATACCAACAGCGTTATTCAACTTTCTCTCTCACCTGTTACTCCTGCTATATGTCTTTCCACCTTTTCCATCTTTGTCTTTTTACTTCCTGTCTCTATTAACTCTGTGTTCCTCCTCTCTTTCCTTCTCCTCTGCCCCTCTCCTCAGTTGCAGGCTCCCACTGTGAAAGGCTTTGACTTTGCCAAGCTACACCTTGGCCAGCAGAGTAAGGATGATGTCATGGTGATCCAAGAGCCAGTCCCACCAGAGCCTTGCCTTGGGCCCCTTTCCATTAAAGACGGCCTCAGTCCATCTGAGAACGGGGAGATCCCCACGCCCATATCCAAAGCCTCAGCCTCCTCCACCAAGGCGTCCCGTAGCAGCCGAAGGCGAGAAAGGTCAGCTCTGCCAATAGTATGGTGCAAGAGGAGAAACAGTTCTGTTCAAAAAAAATCTGCAGCTTAGTGTGTTCTTGTACTTCTGTTATTCATCCAAGTGTGTGTGTGTTTTGTGGTTAGGCTCTCGCCATCAGACGGTGACTCAGTGGTAAGTGACCATTCCAGTGAGCGGGAATCAACTGAGGAGAACCTAAGAGCCCACGCCACGCCGAGCGACGGCAAGCAGACCCGTAAGGTCCCCATCAATGTTTTAAATGGCAAGTGGCCCTGGAAACACTCACATTCAGACACAGAGAGTGAATATAAGGGGGGATGGGGAGGAGGAAACTGAAGTGACTGGGCAGACTTAAAGAGATAAAGAGAGAGCAATTCAAGCTGGGATGATTTGAGTGACAAGAGGGCCAGATAGAGGCAGGGGAGCCTGTGAAGTGATTTAAAAAAGACAAAGCAGAGAAGAAAGTGCAGCATCAAGTCAAGCAGTGACACTGAGATTACAGAGGGGAATAGCGATAGAGAGAGAAACACCTGGTCGAAAGACGTCCATCCAGAGCGGATGACGCAGGGAATAGGAAGGAGAAATAGCTGAAGTTACTTTATCTGACAGCTTGTTGATAGATTCAAGCCAGCACTGCCACTCGCAGACTACAGGCTGGAGCCAGAGGCAGTCAGGCACACAGACTGCAGCCTGACTCACCCACAGAGGAATGATAGAGCATGTTTTCTGCTCATCAGAAGCTGCTCTTTGTTAGTTTTCAGACTAATTCACTTCACAAAAATAGAAGAGAAGCTGTTATCAGCTACAGAAATTGATAATCTGAAATTATCCTCCTTCTTTTTCCTCCCTCTATGTATCTCTCCTTTATTTTTCCTCTTATATCTAAACATTTAAACAGCATTTGTGGTGGCCACACCTCAGTTCACCAGCCTTTTTTACTTTTATTTGACAACATACAATAACCACCTCTGTCTGCGGTACTTGTATTTGATCTCCTTCACCCCAGTAAAACTCTCTTTCCTTTCTATTGCTGTTTGCAGGCAAGAATAGAATTGGTAAGAGTTTGTTTTCTCTCTGTCTGTGTCTCTCAAGACCTTAGGCCCTACCTCCAGCAGCTGTGTCTGCCTGTTGTTTGTTTGTTTCTGTGGTAGCTTTGTGCTCAGCTTGTTCTCACCATCCATCACCATCTGCTGAGCTGTCAGTCAGAAACAATCGACTTCGCAAACAAAGGCAAAAGCCATTGTTTGACATGAAGTTTAGCTCTAGGAAACAGATATCAGTGTTCATTTCATAATGCTACTAGAAAGATTTACTACACTCTTCTGCTGTCCTGTAGATAACATTAAGTATAGTCATGTTGTGCTGTCACCTAATTTAAATCAGCATTAGCAATTAGACTTTCAGTAAGTACACATTGCTGACTGAGTTATGACCTCTTTTTTCTTGCTCACTTCCTCAGGTCCTCCACCTATGAATACTACAAACGAGCAGCTGTCCTCGGCCTCCATTTTTGAACATGTTGATCGAGTGTCTCGCACCACAGAAGCAAGCAGGAGACTCCCCAACAAGGTCCAGCTTATCGCCATGCAGCCCATGTCTGTCCCACCGCTGCACAGCCCACCCATCAATGGCAAACTGGCTGACAGCAACCAGATCAACAAAGAGGTTTGCTCTTTTGATTTTCTTCTGCTTTGAAAATAAACCTCAAAATCTAAACATCCTCTTTTTTAATAAGACTGTGGGCTCGGGTGATTTAGGAATGTTCTTGAGTTGAGTGATTTTTGTTGCTACTGTTGGAGCATGATGGGTTTAGTTTGCTGTGATTTAAATGAATTAGTGCAAATGAATGCAACTACAGTGGAAAAATGCAAGTTCCAACGTTGATTATCAATGCACAAAGTACAAGAAGTGAGACAAGGCAATGCAGTGATCTAAGCAGTAACAGTCTATGGTATGTAACATATATTATATAGCATTTTATCTGTAAATAAATTCCTTCGTAGTTCTTGTTAGATGCTGACTGCCTTTACTTAACTTTGTACATAAACTCTGGAAACTAACGGCAAAGTAGAACATGATCTAATCTAAAACACATATGTAGGTGGTGTGATATTTACAGATAAAGTGATGGTAAAGTTATAAATCACAGTCTAAGGTTGGCATTCAACATGGGAACAGCTGTGTGAACAAACTGCTCTTGAGCCGAAACTGTTTTTAAACCACAAAAACAAGTTCTCTACCAAATTGAATTTGTTACATTTTTATTTTAAGAAAAGTAAAAGAACACACACAATTTTTTTTAGTCCAAAAAATGCATCTACAAAAAAATGCAAAAACTTCATTCATTCATTAATTTTCTACCGCTTAGTCCCTGAACAGGGTCACGGGGGGGGGGGGGGGGGGGAGGGAAAACTTCAGTTACTTTTATGAATACAGTAAAGGAGAACTGATAAGATCAGAGGACATTGTCCTTTGGAAGATACATTTCCCTGAACTACTTATTAAAATGGCCATGGTATTATTTATTCTTATACTCTTATGCTGATGTTCTTGTGATTTACAAAATGAATTCATCTAGAGTTACAGTAGTTTAATCTGTACATATGTTGGACGTGTTTTCAAAAGAAGTAACTGTCTCCTCAGATCCAGGTAGCATTGAGGCACAAGTCAGAAATTGAACATCATCGTAACAAGATACGCTTGCGAGCCAAAAGAAAGGGCCACTATGATTTTCCTGCCATGGATGACATGACCAATGGACTCAGAGATGTTAAGGACCAGGATCGCATCTATCAGAAAGCACAGATGCAGATCAATAAGATCCTGGACCCAGATGCTCAGATGCCCTCCATCTTCATGGAATCCAAGAAAAGGTTAGGGCTCGTATTTTGTATCGGTGACCTTTTTTAGTTTTATGGTTTTAAAAAATTGATTTTCTGACCAGAGTTTTCTGGCCAGGCTGACAGAGAACAAACTCTCAAACACTTTTAAACAGCATTTCTCTGTTTGCCTTTCAGTGGACGAGGTAGGCGCTCTCCCAAACAGAAGATGAAGGAACAGATGAATGAAGGCATGATGGAAGCAGACAAAGACCACCTCATCACTGAAGACAGTGATGCTGTGTACAAAAAGTGTCCCGGGGTCAACAATGTGGCCTACGTGGTTAGTAGTACAGAAGCGGGCTGACATTTGTGCAATCTTGCATTTACTATGTAATCTCTCCCTGTCTAACTGCCATTATATATGTTTTTATTTATTCCAGTCGGACCCCGACCAAGGCCCAGGATCCCCTCACAGGAGCCCATCCCCAGTTGACAACGTCTTCCTGGGGCCCACTTGCTCTCCTCCGGGTCATGCCCCTCCCCCGCCCCCCTACATGCCCCCACAGCCCTCCATTGAAGAGGCACGGCAGCAGATGCACTCCCTACTGGACGATGCCTTTGCTCTCGTGTCGCCCACCTCTCAGGGCACCGCAGCAGGGATCACTCTCCCAGGGGTCAACAGCAGCACCCCTGGCTCCAGCCCTCTGGGCCATGGCCCCAGACCTTGGGGTCCCTCCTACCAAGCTTTCGGCCCTTTTCCTGGTGTAAGTAGACATTAGCCATTCACTCAGCATCCAGTCAAACTGCTTTCATGTTGCACTGAACACCACTGTTTGTTGCCAGCATATGTTTCTCTATAGCATCTAGGTTTTTGCTAGTTTGATCAGTTAAGTATTCCTCCATCTGTCACCCCTACATGGCTGCAACCTTAACTCCTAAGACCCTGCCCTGGCCTGCATATGTTTGCTTTTGTCAGTGTAGGCTGGTTTCATAGAACTGAGCTCCTCTAAAGGCTGCTTGAATAATAAACTCAAGTTTTTGTATTTATATTTAGGGCATTTATTGAAGGGAGTTCTGTGAAAAGATCAGTTTATGCAATGCTACAGTTTATTGCACAGTAAGCTAGGAGTATACAAGCAGACACTATCTAAAGCTTATCCCTGTTTTGAAATTCCTATTGCAGGGCAGACTGTTGAGCTTAAATGAAACAGGCTGTCATTACATTATATGAGAAAAAGAAGTTAGGAGCTGCTGAAAGATGGCAGAGCATTTTATTATGGTTGCAGAATGAGCAGCAAGTCTGTGCTGTCAGCATTATGACTGTTAAAACAACACTGTATGTCACACTGTAAAACTGGAAGCACAATATTTCATGTTAAAACCTGTACTTAAATGCATTTTACAGCTATATAGACACATTTAATCTCCATTCTATCCCTAATAGGTCCAACGCCAGTGTTCACCCTGGTGACAAATATAGGAGAAGCTGGTTCTGTTTGTGCAGATTCAGTGCTTTAATATGCTGTGAAGGGTCAGCAGCAAACAGCGGGATAACCAAGAAAACAATGCTCAATTAAAAACTGTACTGTCCACTATATGATGTGAACCCCACTGCCAAAACTGTGAACTGTAAATGGCAATAGTCACAGCACTGCTTTGCTTTCATAAGAAATGTCAGAATCCACTGCAAGAACTTTACACATTAATTATATTATGTGTATTGTCTTGTTATTGTATGAAAGCTCTTTCATATAGTTTTCTTCAAGATTTTATAAGCTGATTATACTACAAATATAAGCAGGCATTCTCAAGATGCCTCTGTCTCAGTTTGTGTTTGTCCTAAGCACTTTGTGTCTTTCCTTGTCTCCCCCAGAGGTTCACTGAGCTGGACATGTCCTCTTCTTCAGTCCAAGGCCTGACACCAAGGTTAGTAGAGGCGCTGATGAAAATTGGATATTTGTGTATAAATTAATAAATATATACTTATTTGACATTTGCTTCTTCATGCACCAAAAGGATTTCTCTTGATCAGTGCCACCTGGTTTCGACCACTTTACCGTCAGCATGTTTTCCTTTTGGTGCATCCAGTAAATTAGGCCTAATAAATAATTAAAAAAGAGGAGGCATCTTTATTTTATTGGTTTAATGGATCAGGTCCAAGCAGCGGTCTGTTAACTGACTCCAAAAAGACCAAGGCACCCAATACACATCTCACATTCTTAACACAAAGCATCTTTTTTCATACATTCAGTTTTCTAGCATGCCAATCAGACAAATGGAGCTCAGCTGATGTGTTTGTGTAATTTTAGCCCAGTGGAAATAACATATCATCAGTAGCTGCCAACCACTCCATTGTACATTGTGGTTGAATTGTGAAACATTTAAGATTACTGCATACGAATTGCATGAGACCACTTTCCTACCAGTACTTTGTTCAGTATGTTGTAAAAGACACTGTAGAATCCAGGTGACTGATGACCCTGTTGTTAGCATGGTCATATGTGCACATAGCCTCAGAAATCTACATTCACAGCATAAACTTTCCACTAGGTCTGTTCTCTCACCCACATGCAAGTTTGTATGCAGCATTGTATAGTATTAGTTCAACAAGAGTTGAATTATTTGGCTTAATCATACAGTACTGTCAGTGGTGTTTACTTAACTGCACCTGAGCAACAGCACCTGCAGATGTGCAAAACACTGAAATGGACAAGGATGTCCACTTTTCTATGACTTTGTTAACATGACAGGGAAGAGAATGAAACTGAGGAGCCTTTTTTTATGTTTATGTTTTGTTAAAATTAAAACTAAGTGAATACAAATGTATTTCTTCATTTTTCAGACAGGGCCTTGGATCCAGCTACCTGCCACCAGGAGAAACAGCAGGGCACGGTGAGCAGCTTCAGCCAGACAGCCTGTACTCTAGCAGGGGCGTCTACGCCGATGAGCTCCCCTCATCTGCCAGGCCGCGACCAGTAGGGGGAACTACAGGTACAAGCTGAAATACCATATGCATGCGCACAAATGGCCACAAACTAGTTATACTGCCCTGTAAACAAAGCTCTTTCTGGGTTTATGTATTTTTACCATCTTCCCACAGCCTCATTTAGGTATGTGGTATTTTTTAATGAAAAGATTTTTAAAAAACATTTCAAGAAATAACACATGAGGGCTGATTGTTTATTGTCTTAATACACAGTTGTGTTTGTATATGGTTTACTTTAGATGACTTGTAGATGTGGGCCACAGCGTCGTGCCTTAATACAGACACACACCTCCACCCCATAAATCTGGCAGAATGAAAGACCCTCGTCTTTGTCGTAAATTATTAAAGGAGCCGGCACGATGCTGCTGCCATCATGTGACTTACACTAATAGAAATGGATTCCGGCTCACAGCAGAGACAGAGTGCTTTTTCGACTGTGATTACATCAAATATATTAGAGGGGCCACCGAGGATTGTTTCAGCTACTGTAGCTCTGATGTGATGTGTTTGTGTGTGAGTAGGAGTCCAGCTCCATCATCTCGCACAGGTGGGATTGTCCAGCCGGATGAATGGTTACCCAGCAGGGGTCAGGGCTGCTCCAGGACAAAACGGAGGCGTTGCCTGGAACTACTACCACGATGACCACAGTTTCTCCAGGGCTGAGCCTGAAAAAGATGCAGTGAGTGAATCTCAGATTTATTCATTAAACTTCAAAGGATGTGAAGCTTGTTTTATTTGGCTAAATGGATTTTGTTTTTTAAGATCTCTCATGTTCTTTACATGTTTACTTCTGAAAAATCTCCTTCTCGTTTGGTGCCTTCTATCTTTAGTTTTGTCTCTTGATATTTTTTCCTCATGTTTTCCCCTTTCTTCTCCCTCTTTTTCTTCTCTTTGCCCGTCTTTCATGCCTTCAGTTCCTGTACTATCCTGACTACTCATCCTCCTTTATCTTCCAGATGTCCAGAAGTGGTATCAGGGAGCCTTCAGCACCACCGGCCCACCTAGATCCATCTGCGGCGGGCTATCTGTCACCCTCACCGCCCCTCAATACTTCTCCTCCTACCCACTCCTCTGCCTCTCTGATCAAGGCAATCAGAGAGGAGCTGTTGCGTCTCTCCCAGAAACAGGCGGCTGTGCCCAGCTACCACAGCTGAAGCCCCGGCCTCTGGTCTGTTGTCTTTCCACTGACCCTGCCTGCCTGCTTATTTGGACAGTGCTTCCCATGGAAGTCGCTGAGGGTGTACAGCAGAGAGATGATCCTGCTAAACTGAAAAGAAGAGGTGGCTCACTGAGGTTTCTAACTAAAGAGGCTGCCTCTTTGACAAACTAAATGACAGGATGGTTGGTAGAGAAACACATCAGCTGCCAGCTGCAGTCTTTCAAACCAGAGACAGTGTTAGGAAGTTAAGAACAATAGAAGCAGTATATACTGGACCTTTTGAAAAGGGATGAAACACCATGCCTTGACTTGTCCTGCCCCTGTTCCTGTCCTGCACTTCACTAAGGATCACTGAAGTTGTGGCCACGCTGGATCCACATTCTGGACCTGATTGAGAATTTACTGCATTTCTTCAGGCTCAGAATTCTGCGTCACTGTTTCATTCCCATGCTGTCTTCACTTAACAGATATACCCGGCATGACATTTTTTGTGACATTACTTAAACTTCCATACAGGTATTTGTTGTTTCCGGTGCAGGCCCTTAACCTCTTCATCACCATCAGGTGCTACTTCATGTTTTCTGCCATGATGAGCCATGCAATGCCTTGACACTGTGATGTAGTTCACCCAACCCAGTCTACTGTATGAGCCTACAGTACGGTCATTGTTCACAGCCAGCATACCAGTTGAGACAGTAGGCACAAAGGGCCATCTATAGAGACTAACAACACATAAATACTACCTATTCTTCCCTTATTTACTACAGTAGCAAAGAGTTAGTCTGAGTTGATATTTCTGACTTGTGTGTTTTTTGGCTATGACGTCCTGTCTTGTACTTTGTTTTGAAATTGTGTCACAGTAGCCAAGTGACTGCTGGACAAAGGGGATCAAAATGAGACAGAGATGGTCAAACAGAACTGGTGGAGGCTGGTGCACAAACATATTATTAAGAATGACAGTATGTACTTGACAGCTGTGGACAGTTAGTACTGTATGTACTCAGTATTTGGTTGTAACTTGATGCACTGTATGCAGACTACTTGGTACAGCTCAGGTCTTTCAGAAAGAGATTCCTAATGGACAAATCAGTAGAAGAGACATTTGAACTGTTAATGAGGGAAAGTCAAAGACATAAGTATTCCTTTGTAACATTATCCTGGCTGTGCACCGATTCACCCGTTTCATGCAGTATTTTGATGCTTTGCCTTTTTGTCAGCACAGGAAGGAGGCAAAGGTACTGTGTGTGTTGTCATTTATGGTTTACTTCAACCAGTCATGTTTATGTGCTTTTCGAGTCTCCTTTGATTTATCTCGCCGTGTGTAATTATGTTAAATGTCTCTTAGTCATTGTACTGGTTGGAAATCATTCTAGGCTACATGTTTGTTTGTTTTTGTCTGTTTGACCCTCCCCTGACAGATTGTGTTGTTTTGGGGCCTGAAGTAATATTTTATTTAAAAAGAAATAAAAGAGAAGATTATGGATTTTAAAAGCAGGGCTTGAAAATATGTTTTGGAGTGTGTAGTTGCTAGGGTTATGTGGCGGGTTAGAAATCTTCCATACACAAGCACCAGCTTTGGCAGAAGTTAAAACAACCTCCACGATACCAGAGTGAACTTTCCATGCCTCATTAATATGCCTTTAGACTCATCCGAACATATTGGGTTTGACAGCAGACAGGGATTCTCTCATCAGTGCTGTATTCCTGCCTTTTATTCTTTTTGTTACGTTTATCACCATGTATGTCAACAAACTCTCTTATGGTTGTTGGTACTGTTGGTACCGTTTCAAGCTAGAATGAAGTGGCATCCAGGTAATGTTGATCAGACTTTGTCCTGGTATGATGGTCCCTCCCACGTTTCACCTCTGTGTTCATGTTCTGAGTTACCAGCGTCACACTGTATTCCTCCATCTGCTGGTTCTGTACTCTAACAACATCCCATCTGATTGTATTCTTCCTCAGTCACTTTTAGTTTGATTTTATTGTTGTTCTTTTTCATCTGTTTCTACATTGTTCTTTATGAAAATGATCTGTTGGCTGGCCCAACTTTACATTTGAATGTTGTTGCATGTTTAATTGTTGCATTTCTTTTGTCTTTGCGCATGCTGTTTCAAACTTTTAGAAATACAAATCAGACTGTCACTTAATGTGTCTTTGAGTTTTAAGTATAAATAACATCGCAGTTATGTTTTGTTTTTCTTTTTTGAATGGCTAAAACACACTCCATGGTCTTGTGTTGTTCAGAAACACTCACAGGTTCTGTACTTACCACAAACAACCAGAGGGTGGCAGCGCAGTATAGCAAAATCAAATCTGCTTTTCTCACAAAGACCTCTCCTTTGTTGCAGATGATGTAACCAACAAGGGTGTTAAGAAGGTCAGTTCAGGTGCTTTTCACTTTTAATGGGGCAGTTGTGATCTTGTGTTGGATTAATCAAGGGCAGTGTGTATAATTATGCAAACTCGAATCACTGTGAATACAGTGACTTTGATCAGAGGTGCTTCTGATCTACATAGGTTGTTACTTAGTCTTTTTTTTCATGGGCATTAATGAATACATAGTCAGTGGGATTGGCTACAAGCCTGTTGAGGGTTTATATTTCTCTTTGTGTTAAAGGCCTACCTCCTGTGCATGTCTCATCCACTCAGATACTTCTCCCTTTTAATCCCATCACAGGATCTAAAGCCACCTAGTGATGCAGCCAAATGCTCAGCAAAGCTCCTGAACTCACTGTACAGGGGCTGGACCACACAAATGCACACACCTGACCAGTCTGTGCATTGATGTGTGTTACTGTTATAGTTTCAAAATCGAAGCAAATAATGTAGTATCTATGATGGTTCAGGTGATCATGTCCTGCTGTGTCTCTGGTCTTAACTCTGGTCTTTTCCATGACGGTGTCAAACCTGTGTCCATGCCCAGAATATGATGTTTCTAGAGGTGAAATTTAAAGTGTTTTTCACTCCGTGCTTGTAAAATCTCAGCGATTATCATTAATCTCAGGCTTTATAGTCCCCTCATATAAATTCAGCTACTTTAGGCTACGTATCGATTTGTCACATGCTGCAGTCCACATGCCTGTATATTCTGTTTTCGTAGAATAATTTAGCTGTCAGTGTTCTATTCTTTCATTCCCACTAACTATTGTCCCCTGCAGAGCTTAAGACTGTCCCTTCCCGTCCGGCTGCCCCTGGCCCTCCTAGTGGAGTCTAAACCCTCTCCCTCCTCACTACAGTAATCCTCTCTGTGTGCTGTCCCAGTCTGGCTCAGTTACCTGAGTCCAGTGCAGCCCAGCATAGCACAACAAGAGCACGCCCATGAGTTAATCTGGATCATGGGGGTAATTACTACCCGGGTTTCCAGCCTGTAAGAGCGGATGAGGATGGGAAACAGTTGTCCACTAGGGGAGGAGGCAAATATGCTGTTCTACCCACTGACCTTGGAGAAAACTGTGAGGGAGTGAAGGGAGGGGAGGGAGGAGGGACACTGAGAGAGAGGCAGAGCAGATCCAGGCATTATCATAGTGACAGTTCCAGCACTGCAGACCTCTCTCTGCCTTCAGCTGCTCTCATTCTTTAGTCTGCTGGTGAAAAACAGAACGACAAGGAAAGCAGGGAGCAGATAAATCCTTTTACAGAGAAGAGGATATCTTACCTTTCCACTGCTCCCAGCACAGAATCATAGGCACTTGTAAGTAGACTGCTATCAACACTTACATTCACCTTAAGCCTGTGTGTGTGTGTGTGTGTGTGTGTGTGTGTGTGTGTGTGTGTTCTGTATGGCTGCGGCTGCATTGGGAGATAATGTCAGGAATTTCTGGATGCAGTAGGAAGAGTTTCTCAACCAGGTCAGACGGGATGGATTCCCACACAGTTTCTTTTTTGTAGTGGTGGGAGGTGACTGCACTTGATATCCTCTAATTGTGTATATGTACACTGTGTGTCTGTGTGTATACACTTGATCACCATAGCATGTGTTGTTCCTCCAGCTGCCTGCGAGAACCAGACATGCCTGTGGTTTGATGACAACAAATGAGCAACTATTTCTGCGGCAGCCTACAATGGCGTCTGTTGCAGCTGTAAACACTGTTGCAGTTGTGTTACTGTAGAGGGGATATGCTCCTTGCCCTGTCTGTTTGCTAGCATGTTTTCTTTCTTTCAAAATTATGCAACGCTCTGCATGCTGCACTGTTACACAGCATCAGTGCTGCTGCCTGTGAATCAACGGCAGCAGCCAGGATTGGTTGGCTAACAGATACACTGCAGCAGCCAGGCATCTTCTGCAGTATCAAGTTAAGGGCCAGCTGGCACTGCTGTCACCGAGGGATGTCACTGTTCTCACTTTCTGTCTCACTTGTGTGTAGAAATGTTTGCAGGACAACTGAATGTTTGTAGCACTCCCGAAAACAACATATTTCTCAACCAATTTCTGTTGTTTCTTTAATATTTTTCTTTCTTATTATGACCACAAGCCCAGCAGTGATGATGTCACTGTAGCTCCTTTTGTTATTTGAGTACTCAGACCCATCCTGACCTGCCCCTCGCTCTTGTCTTTCAAATTGTCATTTCTCATGCTCCTTGTCCACCAGCCCTCCCAGTGCCCAGATCCCAGGTTTATGTTATAATTGCTCTGTAATCGGGTCCTTTTCTCATTCTCTGTCTGACACTGGTGTCAGGAATACAGCCACAGAGGGAGGCAGATTTGCCAGGGGTCCGGAAACAAAAGCTTAGAAGGAAAAGCCATCATTGTGTGCATGTGTATGCCATCAGCAGGCACATCTGACTAAATAGAGAAGGGAGATGGGTGTCTGGCATCATCTAGATTCTGTCTTAGGTTAGAACCAAAAGTAGCTCCTTTAAATGCACCGCAGCCCTGTGGTGCGTCAGGTCAGGTAAATCTTGCTTACACAAACTCTTCTGCCTCTTGTCACCAGTAGACATTCGCTCTCCTCAAGGTCACAGTGCAGGTGATCTCTTCTGTCTCCCTCCCTCTCC